AGACACTTCAGTGCCATGCAAATTGGAAATCTGATTCTGCCTTCAGAAAGCCTTTTTTTGTTTGATATATTTGGTAAATGGCCGAGGCAGCTTTGCAAGAATTGGCAGCCAGAGCACCGTTCCACTTCAGAGATGTATGCGCAAATACAGACAAGAACAGCTCAGAGGTGAACTCAACAACTTTTCTTTCTCAGTGGAAAAAGAGGCTAAAAGGAAACAAAAAAAAGGGGTTTCTGAAGGCAGAATCAGATTTCCAATTTGCATGGCACTGAAGTGTCTATCGAATAATAATAATAATAATAAAAACTGTGCTCTGACCTGTGATGTTGCCTTGGTAACATATACGGAAATTTGTATTTTTGGGATTGTGCTGACCTTGCTACTGTAGTCTTGCCCAAAACCAGAAAGAACATAATTCTATTCAATGTTATGCTTCTCAAGCAACAAAATAAAAAAAATAAAAAATGCAGATATAAGTTTAAGTTTACAGTTAAAGTCACAGTATTTCTCTTCCCCCTATAGCTTCCACCTTCTTGACTCAACCACATCTGCCTAGCCCTTACAATCCTACCTGGGCTGGAATTTCCTTACCTTAACTTGACCCTATTGGATACTTTTAATATTCCCTGCAACCCAGTGGATATTATTCTATTTTTTAACAGTCCTTTTTTACTATTCTATTCTACATCTATGTTTGTTCAATTTAGTTCAACCTCTTGCCTTGTTTATACTGTTTCCTGGAAAAAATCCCAGGTAGACATGAATACTACATGATATTTATAACATAATAACACAATGTGAGAAATGTGAGACCACTTATTTCCTGAGGGTATCTACCTGCTTCACTAGAATGGATAGGATGAGCATGCCTCAGTTCACTTCCACACAATACTGTCATCTCGCAGACCTGGGAAGTCTGCTTTTTCAGTGGCCTACCTTATGGAAGACACTCTTCCCACAATAACCCGGCAGGACCCCCAAACTCTCACCTTTCAGGAAGGCCACTAAAACCTGGCTCTTTACCCAGACACTATGGAGAGTTGTTGGGACACCTGGAAGGCTGATGGAGGGGCAGGATTATTAGTTTTTTGTTTTAATGCTTTTATGGCTTTTATAGCTTTATTGTTGTGAATTACCCAGAGTTATTTAGAGGGCAGTTATACAAAACTTAAATTCAATGCAATACAGTTTAATTTCACCACATAATGGTAAAATGTGAAAAATAAAATTTAACAGCAGTATTTCTGATGATGTAAGTATGTCCAAAGACACCACTCTTTATGTAGTCTCTCAGTCCCACATGACTTATTTTTTACACTTTCTTAGTAAAAAGTACTGCCCCTCCAGAACTGTCTACCTTTCCCAAAATTTATCAGGTTCTCTTATTTACACTTGGCAGAAGGAACCCAGAGATCTATCAAGGCATGATTAGATAAGAAGCTTGACCAGAATGGAGCCACTTAGTATGGTCCACGTGAGAGAGCAGCCCTTCTGATACCCACTTGTTTAAATCCAGCACTTTCCCCTCACCTTTCTCACCTCTTCTCAGGTACTCTGCTTTGCACTCTCTTCATGGCTGCAACTGTAGATGGTTGTAGATGGGTAACGTAATTGATATTTGTGCTATGGAAAGCTAGTTAACAGTGGGATTCCCTCTCCCTGCCCCATTCTTTAAAAAATGAAAACTAGGAATGGCAGAAGCTCAGTGTCCACCCTTTCAGAAAGAAACCCAATCCCAATAAGCTTGGATAATAAATAGGGAATCCTGCATGGCCGGCAAACTCAGGGAACAAGAATCATTTTGATTTCTAGCCAATAATCTTTATTGCTAGTACGGTAATGTAAAAAACCTTGACTGCCAGTGAAAGTCATTTTTTCAGCTCAGTTTATACCTAATGTGACTAACGCATAGTTATTCTGAGGCTTTATTATGTGTCTCTCATGTCCTTCATGCCCTCCCCAACTAAGAAATCATTTCTGGAACTGCCCTGCTTCTTCTTTTAACAGTCACAGTCGCTTCTCTGCATTCCCAGGGTCTGTTCGGTATTCTGTCACAAAGGGCAAAGGCTATAGAAGGTTGCATGCCAATAAACTGGTACTTTTGTTATTGGTTACGTTTCAATATATCAACCTTTTTGTGAAAAAGAAAACTGCTTAAGTAGAGTGCCCAGTAAACCACTATCACCCTGACTTCTATCTATTCATCCTTCATCCCCTCAGACATACCCTCATCTTATTTCTTGGATGATGATAGTGAATTAAACTTGTATGCTGCCCAACTTCCAGTTCATTAAAGTTTCTCCTATATATAAAAACTTAGTTATGTCGCATTAAACAAAAAAAAAAAGCGATAAAGAGTTTGGCTTAGATAAAAACAGAGCTAAAATCAGAAATTAAAACACACACACACACTCGTTTACGAACACCTACCCATTTCTTTGAGCTCCATGTTGAAAAGTTCCAACCAGCAAGCATCAATTTCATCCAGATCATAGCGACATACTCTCTGGGAATATGTTCTGGAAGCATCTGAACTTTCAGAGCTGGACAAGTTCCTTGGAAAGGTCTGTGATGAAGAATGGTCTAGCAGAGGTATTATCCTATGGAAGGAAACAAACTTTGTTGTAAAAGACAAGTTTAGAAATGAAATACGTCTGCTAGAAACATGTATGATGTATATTGAAATTATCAATACACATACAAATTATAAATATGCATGTTTAGGAAAAAAAACCATTAAATAAAGTAAGCATTCAGTTTCCATTATCAAATATGTAAAGCAACCATTTCAGAGTGGAGAAAATTAGGCATATAATAAATCCTGGGGGTGAGATTCAAAATACATGTAAGAATATCAGACTGAAGAAGATGATAAAAGGATCTTTTACAAGTGTTTTCAAAGTTATTCCTCCCATAGTACAACCCTTATATACTATAATGAAGAAAGTATTTAGCACATCACATTGCAAAACCCAAATTACACTCAATATAAAAATGGTGCTCATTATTGACTTTCTGCATCTCTGGAAAACTATCAAATATTACCACATAAAATTAAGACTCTACCTTGAAACTACTATCAGTGACTTTTTTGTACAAGCAGGAAATGTTTTCTGAAAGACCTAACATCAGCAGAATAAAAGGTATAATATCCTAACTATTAAATAGTTTAATATTCAGGTATGTTAAGAAAAACTTTAAATGACCCTTTTTGTCTGATTGACAAGAAGAGTCATTTGAATTTGCACTTATTTCACCAATGACCCTATTACAAAAATGGTCTCTGTTTAAGTGATTCAATAGGTAGATAATCTCAAACGAGACCTCACTTATTACAATAAACACAGGTATTATGTGCAAATTAGATGACCTATGGCTTTTTTAGTCACCCAGAACAAAACTTGCCTGATGCTCAGCAGCTATTATTCAAAGAACAGATAACAAAAAGATTCCTTCATTCAACTGTAATCTGATTATACATCACTGTAACTTCATACCAAATATTTTTTTTTATTGTATCAAAAAGTACAGCCAGCATTTAACCTGAAATAATTGCAAGATAACCTCAAATTATGGAGTAGCCTATAAGCTTTTAAAGCCAGAAAATCCTGTTGGTTCCCCTATAAGAGTTAGATTGTTAAAAGGAATAAAACTAATGAATTGTCATCTGATACTTGTAATTATACCCCAATAGCTTGCCCCCCTTTTTTTTTAAGGAAGACTGTTTAATCATAAGGTTAGTTCAGCAGAACTCCATAGAAGCAGGTTAACAGCAATAGCACTTAAGACTTATATACCACTTCACAGTGCTGTACAGCCCTCTCTAAGCGGTTTACAGAGTCAACATATTGCCCCCAACAATCCTCATTTTACCAACCTTGAAAGGATGGAAGGCCGAGTCAACCTTGAGCCAGTGAGAATCAAATTGCTGGCAGTTGGCAGAATTAGCCTGCAATACTGCATGCTAACCACTGGACCACCATGGCTCTTTAAACCACGGCCCTTTAAACAAGGGTGTGATTATGGATTCTGAAACTACCATAACATGTAAATTATTTTGCAAACCCAAGGATTATAAAACTCTCAGGAACACTGTTAGATTAGCCACTGACATTCAGCAACAAATAAACTGGTTTTAGACAGCATCTTTAAAGGTTTTGGCTGTACAAAAACTACTGCAAATTTAAAGTGTATGATGATATCACTGCATTATCTTCTTCCCTGTGGCCCTCAAATCTTATCCTCGCCATTGTCCTGAGGGCTAGAAGAGGGATAAGATACACAAAACAATTGTGTAGACATGAAAGCAAAATCCTCCCCGGTTGCTCGAGACAGAACAACTCAAAATCTAAAGATCTGTCCCCCTCCCACCTCCAAAATACAATCACACTTTTCTCCTCTGGGACGTAAGGGACTTTCCTTACATTTGAACAGGAAGCTTCATGCCACAGTATTATTGTTATATAAAATACTCAATTTTTATTGGCTTGAGTCATCATTTCTGAGTGGCTGCCCAAATGAGTCTTGAAATAATATTTCAAAAACCCTTGATTTTGCTTTGCTCTCTTTAAGAACATCTTTACTGTATTAGCAAAGGAACCATCTAATCCAGCATTCTTGTCAAGCAGTGATCAGACACAGATGCTTCTGTGAAGTCAACAACAAACAACGCATGAGGGCATTGCTGTAATTCTGCCCCTGTTGTTTTTTTTCCCAGGAGCTGGTACTCAAAGACAGCTTCATTTGTTCTGGTTTATGTTCTTTAATGGGCTTACCCTTCACCAGTGTTAGCAATCTTTATATCTTAGTGTGATAAAGTGAGATAATAATTCCCCCCCAGGCACTTCCTTCACACTGTGCCTTATTTTTTTAAACTCTATAATTCTCAAACCCCTCTTACCTTGCTTTTCTTTTATCTGAACTAGCTTTCCTATTGTCTATAGCATTTATTTATTTAAAGGAGAAAAACTATCAAATCTAGTTTAAGTGCAAGGACCTTAGGAAATACATCTATTTTTAGCTAAGATATCTAGTTCCTCTACAATTCTTTTATCATAGTCTGTATTGATAGCCCTCTAGTTGGGGTGGAAGGGGAAGGGTGCTATAGCGTCAAAGCAAAAGACTATTTTATTTTTATTTTTCCATTTTCCATGATTCTACTCTTACAAGTTGATGTTCAGTGGCACTAGAAGGATCACAATGGCATAATGACAAATTGAGAAACTTCTTATACCATGTACTCTTGTCTCTTTACTTTCCACATGCTTCCTTATGCCTTGATACTAAAGGAACGTATTACTACACTCAAGTCAGGTAGATTTTGCTAATAGGTTTCTACTTTTATTTTGCAATCTTCATGCCACCTGTTCAGAGAATGTATATATCACAACACCACAGATTCTTTGAAACTTAAAATACTTTCTGGTGACACCATTAGTAGTTAAAAGTCATCATCCTCTCAATTCTACCCCCATTAAATGCGAGTCTTCTATTTCTTTTCAGCCTTGCAAACATGATTTGCTGGTAGTACCTCCTCCGTTTTTGATTCAGAAGTCAAACAAATGTGACAAAATCTGCCTACATCAATCTTCTCATAATATTAGACACTAGAGACTTTCTTTCCCCTGGAGCTTATAAAGATATCACTCAGATAATCTTATGTATAAACAAACCCTCACTTTGGAAGAGGAGGAAAAAAGAACATTTTGGATGTGTATATATATATGATATGAATGATAAATGAATACAAGCTGCTTTAGCCTCAGCTGAAATACAGAAGGCTAAATTATTGTAACTATGAAAATAATTTGCATTGAAGGCTTGCAGAAGCAGATGATAAACCACAGAATGCTGCTTCCTCTACCTAAACTGTAAAAGTTCTTAAAAACAAAACATAACATCCTGATACATATTCTTTTAAAAATATATTTTCAAAGCCTTCTCCGTTTCTGAAAAAGATGATAAAGCTCAATATTATTTTTCCAGGAAGTTACTGTTATATGCAGATTATTGCAATTATCCCTCCAATCCAGAGATATATCTGAAGTTACAGAAATAGCCAATCTAGTACATATTGCTCCAGTAGTCAAATCTGGTGTGACACCTGGATTTTGAGCAAGATTCATAAAAACTAGGAAAAACACATGTATGTGTATAGTTTTTCCAGCAGAATAGGATGACATTTCATAGAAATCACTGCCAATGTTTTCAAACGGGTTTTTTTAAAAAATGTTTTACTTTCAGTACATAAAACATTTTAGCGCATCCGCTGCCTCCTTCATGAATTATGAACACTTCCTTGCAACCTCATTACCATGTCCTTGACTTGGCAGAAAAGTATGTCAATGTAATTTGTGCAGCCTCATGGCTGAACTTCACTATGCCTCAGTGAGAAAAGCAAGGTGGGGAACTCTCCTTACAGATTCAATGCAGGATGGTTTCAGAGCAGTTTCTGATGGGTTTCCAAGCTTCCTTTCCCTTCCCACTCAAGGATTATCAATCAATCCAGTGGTGGGATTCTATTGGCTTCACTACCAGTTTGCAGTTAGGAGAAAATTGAACTTCCACATTGAAAACAAGGAAAGTAGCAAGAAAAACAATTAAATGCCACTACTTATCAGCTGGGCTTCAGAAGCAGAAATAAAGGTTTGTATAATGCAGGGACAGGCGGGTGGACCCACTTTCACAGTAACAGAGAACCGATTCATTCTCGGCTTGAGGTCAGAGCCATGGGTTCGGGTAAACCGGTCCGAACTGATAGAATACCACCTATGAATCAATCAATCCAACAAATAGCTAATACCCCAATGCCCATTATTTATGGGGATTTTTTCTCCCTAACATCTTCCTCTTCACCTCAAATCAGTTCAACCCAAAATGAACTGAGTCATAGAACATGGATTTGTCAGCAAGCACCACATTTTAATTTTAATGGGGAAGATAGTGGCAAAGTAATTTTGAAAAGTGGATACGGAATACTAAACATATATGTGTATTCCATACTGCAAGATTTGATGCAGAAAAGCCCTTCCTTCCCAATACTCAATGGGAAGATTTTAATAGTAAAGAAAGGAAGCCAAAACCTGTTCTTATTTAACAACAACAACAACAAAACCCACCTTGCACCCTTTTCCCCCAGATATATAGAATATACCTTAAGTCAGGCTCCATAGACAAACTCAGGTCCCACAGACAATTTATCTCATATATATAAATCTTGCAGTATGGAATACACATATATGTTTAGTATTCCGTATCCACTTTTCAAAATTACTTTGCCACTATATACCCCATTAAAATTANTTGTGGGACCGATTGGATTGCTGTGATTTGAAGCAGATGGTGGATCACCTGCTCCACCAGGCGTCCTTTGTGTTTGTCCTGGGACACGTGACAAAATACCTCGGGGGGGGGGGAGTAGAGAGGAATTCCAGAGAGAGACCTGATCTGATTGTTTTCCTCACCTAGGAATCTGTGATTATATCCTCTCATCAATCTGCAAAGGCTGCCAGGCGGCCACCAAAGGGCTATCTCCAGACAGTCACTTCTGCCATCTGAAAGGGCAGTTGGACCCCCCTCTGAAGGATTTTCTAGGAGGAAA